CCCCAAAACCCCAAAACCCCAAAACCCCGAAAGCAAAATTTTATAGCTTTATGAAATTTAAATCAATAGTAATATAATTTTGATAAGAATAAAAGATGTACTTTACCCCACAGTAACTTTCAGGAGGTCCTAGATTCAACCATAAGACTAGAGTCGGCAACTGGCAAGAAGATTGGGAATCTAATGAAACTAAGTAAGCATCATTAACATTTCTATTACATATATTTACTCAATTGAATTAAATAGGCTAAAAGAGTATATGAAAAAGAAGGAGACCAATCAGCTCGTTATAAATCAAACTCAGTAGAAATATGCCAAATCCTTGCAAAGAGTAACATATAAGTGATATCTAAACTTTTAAATTTAGGTTCCACAAACATATACACATGATGGGAGATTAAGATTCGGTGATTCCATCATGCTTTTGAATAAAATGACAAGCGGTTATCTTGCTTTCGATATGAGTGATAAAATACCTGCCCATGAAGAGGCTTACTCCTGTACAACAACTGACAAGGTAGGACCTTGTGCTAGATCTGTTTTCGTTCTCTCAAAGGGTGAAGACGATGGTGCTCCAGATAATATCATAAGATATGGTCAGAAAGTTAAGTTTGAGTCAAACCCACACATTTATGCAAAGAAATTATATTTGCACAGCACAATGATAAGTCCACAATTCTTCGCTAGATTCTCAAGAAATCAAGAAGTTTGTATGACTGCTAAGAATATTTACAACACTGTATTCAAAATTCTTCACATCGACCCTAATCTCAGAAACACCAGTTTGGGAGATGCTGTTGGCGCTAATGAATAAGTTTTAATTGAACACTGTGCCACTTCTCAATACTTGGCTTCTGATAAAATTAATTACAGAAATGACTTTGGCATGGAGTATGAAGTATGTGTGAATTCATATGCTACTAATAACAAGAGTCAAGCCTTGAATCTAGAGAGAGTTGGAAAACTCACAGTTGAACAACCAACTAAGATTCAATTAGACTAAAATGTCTGGGTTATTGCCACAGCCTCTGATCCATCTCTAGCTGAACCCATTAAGGAACCACCTAAATATACAGCTCAAGATTTATTAAATGACATTAAATAAAAACTTCAAGCTAGAGGTACTCTAGGTATCAGAGGACTAGGAAGAATGTTTAGAATCTTAGACAATAATGGTAATAGGAATCTAGACATCAAAGAACTCTAGTATGGTCTTGGAGACTTTGGAGTGTATATTGATGATGAATAAGCATCAGTAATCCTTGCTCACTTCGATAGAGATAGAAACGGAGTCGTAAACTATGATGAATTCCTAAGAGCAATTAGAGTAAGTTATCGATATTTTTAAATTAATTTTAGGGAGACTTGAATGAATACAGACTAGGATTAATTAAGAAAGCCTATCAAAAATTAGATGAAAATAGCGATGGTACTGTTAAGTTGGATGATATTGCTAAGTTATATGATGTTAGCAAGCACCCAGATATTGTTGGAGGCAGAAAACAACCATAGCAGGTTTACATGGAGTTCATGAAACTCTGGGAAACCTAAGTTGCTGATGGCATTGTTACATTTGATGAGTTCTGTGACTACTTCAGAGATGTATCTGCCTCAGTTGATAGAGATGACTACTTTGCTCTAATGATGCAAAACTCATGGAAGATTTAAGTCTGATCCTGAATCGATAAAAGCCTCTTCCTATGTGATTGATATATTTAGATTACTTATTCTAAGAAAATTTACAAATATCTCCTAGTGGGGTTTTGGGGTTTTGGGGTTTTGGGG